GGCTCTTGATGTTAGCACAGTTATACCTAATTAGCACAGTTATACCTAACTTCCATTCAATGGTTCAAAATCAATTTGGGGGTCAAAATAAAAGGCTTTAGGACAGACATTGCTAGAGATTACTTCAATCAAATTCTTTCACCTTATTTTCAATCTTATTCACCTTATTTTCAATCACAGGGGATTATCCATGACTCATCATATGTGGACACACCCCAACAAAATGGAGTAGCTGAAAGAAAGAATGAACATTTACTGAACACCACCCTAGCCTTATTCTTTCAAGGGAATGTTCCTAAGTCCAATTGGGGAGAAGCCGTTCTTACTGCCACACACATGATCAATAGACTTCCCTCCCGTGTGTTAGAAAACAATAGCTCTATAGAGGTCCTAAATAGCTTCTACCCTCACTTCAGAACCTCAAATGGCTTCACTCCCAGGGTATTTGGGTGTACTGCCTTTGTTCATGTCCACAAACAACATAGAGGGAAGCTAGATGCCAGAGCCATCAAATGTGTTTTCCTAGGTTACTCCTCCACTCAAAAGGGATATAAGTGTTACAATCCCTCTACCAGAAAATTTTGCATCTCTGCAGATGTCACTTTCACAGAAAATAAATCCTTTTTATCCAAGTCCTCTCCTCAGGGGGAGATTTCCATGATGGAAGATAGTACTTGTGAGTCCTTTGAACCACTTAAAACCCTTGACCTTTCACATGCGCCAGCCCGTGTTGTTGAACCTAGATCAAACTCTCCTCCTATTCCAGCTGAACCCGAGTCCTCTGAACCAATCATATCTGAGTCACTTGATCCTGAACCCTTATCATCTCCTACTCCAACTAGTCTCACTAATGATTTCTCGAGATTTCCTCAGGTGTATTCAAGGAGAAAGACCATTCCTAAACTGACACAAGTCCAAGAATCCAATCCACTATATCCACTATCTTACTATATATCTCTCAAGCACCTAACACCAGCCCACAAAAGATTCATTGTGAGTTTGAACACCATTGCCATTCCTAACAATGTGTCTTGAGGCATTGACAAAAAAAGAATGGAGAGACGCTATAAAAGAGGAAATAAGTGCTTTAGAAAAGAATAAAACATGAGAGATCGTTGACAAACCAAAGAAAAAATACATTGTTGATTGCAAGTGGATTTTTACATTAAAGTACAAGGCTGATGGGTTTTTTTGAAAGATATAAGACAAGGTTAGTAGCCAAAGGGTACACTCAGACTTACAGGGTGGATTATCAGGAAATATTTGCTCCAGTTGCAAAAATGAACACTGTGAGAATCCTGTTATCATTGGCTGCTCACTTTAATTGGCAAATGCTACAGTATGATGTAAAGAATACTTTCCTTCATGGTGACCTAAATGAGGAAATCTACATGAACATCCCTCCAGGAGTTGAAGGGGACACATGTAACAAGGTGTGCAAGCTGAAAAAACCCATTTATGGGTTAAAACAATCTTCTAGAGCATGGGTTGACAAATTTGCAAAAGTCATGAAGGAATCTGGGTATAATCAAAGCTAAGGTGACCACACTCTTTTCATTAAACATTCAGCTGCAGGGTGAGTGACTGCTCTTTTAGTCTATGTGGACGACATCATAGTGACTGGAAATGATGAGAAAGAGAAACATGAATTGAAACTGAGACTAGTTAAAGAATTTGAAATTAAGGAACTGGGGAAATTGAAGTACTTCCTCGGTCTTGAGGTGACATATTCCACACAGGGGATCTTCATATCTCAGCAAAAGTACGTGATTGATTTATTGACAGAAACAGGGAAGACTGGGTGTAAGCCAATCACTACTCCAATAGATCCAAACTATAAGTTGGGAGAAGCTAAAGAAGAACCAACTGTGGATAAAAGAATGTACCAGAGATTGGTTGGCAGACTCATATACCTTATTCACACTCGACCAGACATAGCATATTCTGTAAGTATGATCAGTCAATTCATGCATGATCCTAGAGAATCTCATCTTCAGGCTGCCTACAGGGTACTGCATTACTTGAAAGACAATCCGGGGAAAGGAATCTTGTTCAAAAGGAATGACACTCTTACTCTGGAAGCCTACACCGACGCTAACTATGCTGGCTCCATAGTGGATAGAAGATCAACTACAAGATATTGTACTTTTCTTGGAGGTAATCTAGTAACATGGAGTAGCAAGAAGCAGAATGTAGTGGCATGGTCATCTGCTGAATCAGAGTTCAGAGCTATTGCTCAAGGATTATGTGAATTACTGTGGCTGAGAATCATCTTGGATGATTTAAGAATCCCATGGGAGGGTTCTATGAAGCTCTACTGTGACAACAAGTCTGCCATTTATATAGCTCATAATCCTATACAACATGATAGGACAAAACTTATTGAGATTGATAGACATTTCATCAAAGAAAAACTGGAGGAAGGGTTAGTGTGTATGTCCTATGTTCCATCAGAAAGACAATTAGCCGATGTTCTACAAAGGGACTGAATAGTTTAAGTTTCCATGATCTTGTATCCAAGCTGGGAATGAAAAACATCTATTCCTCAGCTTGAGGGGGAGTGTTAATTTAAGGGATTTACCAATTAATTCTAATTTCCTTAATTAAGGAAATTATAATTAATTGGTAAATCCCTTAAATTAAAGAAATTATAATAAATTTGTAATCCCTTAAATCAAGGGAATTAGTTAAATAGTTTCCTAGTTTTTCTCTTTTTAATCTCCTATATAATACATTGTATGATCAATTCAAAGAAGAAGGTGAAATACAAATTATTTCTTTGATTTCCCACAAGTTTCAATTTTGAATTACAGTTAGGTTGGTTTTTTATTGGCTTAGTATAAATAGCTTGTTTTTGAACTGTTAAAGAACTTTGGATTGAGTTTATGCATTTGCGGATTGTTTTCTCTAAAATTCAGTTCTAAGAGCTCTGTATACTCTTCCTTTTGGAAGTGGTGTGCTTGTAGCTTGTCAGGAATTAGGTGGTGGATTTTCCTTGATGTTTGTAGTCTTTAACATCTTTGCCGGATTCCTTCCTCTAGCTGTTTTCGATGAGGACTGCAGCTATTGCTCCTAAACAGTTCCAAATCCTATTTCATTTTCAGTGTTTCTCTTCTAATCATTTTGTGAACTTTTCTAAGTCCTCGTATCAATCCTCATACACTATAACCTTTGCTCGGTGCTACTCTCACTTATTTTTTTCTATGCATAATCTTTGTTTGATTTCACTTTCAGTTCTTTCACTTTGGTTTTGACTGAGATGTTTCCCCATTAAATTTCATGACTTGCATTTATGAGCTGTTTAAATTTCTACTTGACTTCGTATGATTAATATATCTATACTCCATACTGGTGACCTAAAGTTGTAATCTAAACACTAAATACCATATATTCTCTTTTGATGGCACATTGCTTCATTCTACATCAAGTTTACCAAGAGTCATTGTTTCCAGTAAAGGTCAAATGAAATATTGGTTTTTACAATTTTGGAGGGGATCGGCGCTTTCATTTCTTAAATTCATAGTTATGAGTAGTTATAGATTGACATGGCCTTTCTAATGTTGTTTCATTATAATGGTATTTGAACAGATTCCCCACGAGATTTTGTTCAGTTTATTGAATGGTCACCGAAGTCTTGTTCTCGTGCACTGTTGATAGCTAATTTTCATGGCAGAATCACTATATGGACTCAGGCATCACAGGTAAAAATTTGGAGATCTATAGATTTATTGAAGTATAGTTTTCTCATAACTTCAATAAACCTTTTTAATTTTGTAGTTGAACAGGCCTAGGTTAAATTGTTTGTCAAAATATTAGATTGATCTCATAAGTGCAACTGCCATCTTTTTTTCTATTTGTCCTGTTTTTGCTGCAATTTTTTCTTCTAACCCCAACTCCTGCATGTTGGGAAGCATCGATCTGCCATTTGGGCAAATTACACGGTTGAATTAGCTCTGAGTCTGTAGACCAATCGTGAAATTGTTACTTGATGCGACAAAATGATCTTCCTTTTTTTTTGTTTTGCTCATTTATTGTAAAAAAGATGCTGGCAGTTTTTTTCAAATTACAATGGCAAATTTTGCCTTTTTTTGTTTGTATTTTAGGGTCCCATTCATCTTGTTCGAGATGTCAGTTCTTGGCAATGTGAACATGAATGGAGGCAAGATCTTGCTGTTGTCACTAAATGGTTGTCAGGAATGACAGCGGTATGCTATTTCTCCTCTTATTTTTTAATTAATTGTTCGAGGATGCAATCCTTTTTTATTCATGCCATGTAAGTCAGATTTTGAGGCAATTGCTGCACAAACCGACTCGTGAGTTTGGAATGTTAGGGTACGAACAATTGGATGGACGGTATTAATTTCTTTCGATTAATATTATAAATAAACCAACTCTTCTTCCAAAATATATAAAGAGTCACTGAGCAATAAAATTTTGTTCTAGTTCAAATCACACTGTAGTTATTTTATTTTTATATAATTCAAATAAATTTAAATTAAATTCGTAATTTCATTAATACCTATTCTTATTTACTTTTTTTTTTTTTTTCTATGTGCACATTTCCTTCCATCATCCATCTAACAAAGGAGTTTTTCCTGAAAACAAATATCAACTAATTTGTTGTCATGCAATGAGTCAGTGGTGTGCATCTTTCCAGCACTCAAGGATTCATATGTATGACTTGAATTGTCATCTGTATTTCATTGTTAAGAAGCTGAAAAGCTACCACATGGTGCTTATAGGAACTGGTCCGTTACATTAGTTTGATTTATTCTGTTATTTTAAACCAACTTGGCGGCCTCAGTTTGATGGTTTATTTTTGCAGCCCCACCCATTGTCAGTTTCTGATCTATTTTTTTTTTTCAGAAGATTCAGGCATTTAATTGTTGGCATTATTTAAACAGAGATAAATTTTTGTTTCCCCTTACTTGATTGTAATGGAGGTAATATTCACGTGGGGTTGTCTTTGCTTTTTTTCAAGATTCGTTCACTGCCTTCAAATCCTAACAACTCGTCTAATATGAAGTCGACTTTTGAGGAGAAGTTCAGTACACATCAACCTCAAACTGCAGGTTTGGATTGTTGTGTTGATAAGTTTGTGCATGGTCCTTTGTTTCATTTTTCAAAATTTTTTGGTGGCTTTCTCTGAAATAATGGACAAATATATTCTTGCAGCAAAATGGCCAAACTTCCTTTGTGTTTGTTCAGTTTTCTCATCAGGGTCCATCCAGCTTCACTGGGCACAGTGGCCTCCTCCTGAAAATGGTGAACCACAGAAATGGTTTTCAACAAGCAAAGGACTTCTAGGAGCTGGACCAAGTGGTATAATGGCTGCTGATGCCATCATTACTGAAGCAGGGGTCATGCACGTTGCTGGTGTTCCTCTTGTTAACCCATCGACTGTTGTTGTATGGGAGGTTACACCTGGCCCTGGGAATGGCTTTCACGTGGCCGCTAAGCTAAATACAACCTGCTCAATTTTTCCTCCATTGAGTCCTCCCTGTTGGACAGGCTTTGCACCTCTTGCAGCATGTTTGTTTAGTTTGCAAGAGTATGTAATCTCTCTAGAAAAGCAAGGAAAGAAGCAAACAGATCAAGAGATAATTGAGGCTGCACCACTTCACTGTTCTCCTGTTTCTAATTTTTCTGCATATGTAAGCCCTGAAGCTGCTGCTCAGTCTGCAGCAACCACTACATGGGGTTCTGGAGTTACTGCTGTGGCTTTTGATCCAACAAAGGGAGGGTCAATGATTGCAGTAGTAATAGTTGAAGGTTTTACTGAACTTATTTTAAATGTTGGAATTCTCTTCCAATTTCTTTATTAAATATTTTCTTGTAATACCCATTCACCATCATCCTGTACGTTTCATAGACAAGTTTGTTTCCATTTGCCTTGCAATGTTAATACACTTAATTTCAGTCAACCGAAGAAGAAATTTTATGTACTCTATTCTTTGTGCAGGTCAGTACATGTCTCCATATGATCCTGATGAGGGCCCTTCGATAACGGGATGGAGGGTCCAGTGCTGGGAATCATCTCTTCAGCCTGTTGTTTTACATCCAATATTTGGGAATCCTTCTAGTTTTGGGGGGCAACCGCCCATGCAAACAGTATGGTTAACTAGAGTTAACAAAAGCATTCCACCAACAGATGACATGGCAAATCCCCAACCATGCACTTCTTCGTCGACCATCTCTGATGAGAGGAATTCATCTGACAGTAGCATTGAGAGGGCAAAAAGGCTCAGCTTTGACCCATATGACCTTCCAAGCGATGTGAGGCAGCTAGCTCAAATAGTTTATTCTGCGCATGGTGGTGAAGTTGCTGTTGCTTTTCTTCGTGGTGGAGTCCACATATTCTCTGGTGCAAATTTCAATCAACTTGATAGTTACCACATCAATGTTGGTTCAGCCATTGCTACACCTGCCTTCTCATCTAGTGGCTGCTGCTTGGCCTCAGTTTGGCATGACACAAACAAAGATCGGACAACCTTGAAGATATTTCGTGTTCTTCCTTCAGCTGTTTCCAGCAATCAAGCTAAAGTTAGCTCGGCTGCATGGGAACGTGCTATTGCAGACAGGTTTTCTTTACGCCGCTAAATTTTTGTATGGGTCTAATTAAGCTATTGTTTGGAGTTTGCAAATCAATTTGTTTGTAGGTTTTGGTGGTGTCTTTTGTCTGGTGTTGACTGGTGGGATGCCATTGGCTGCACCCAGAGCGCCGCAGCAGATGGTTTAGGTGGGTATTGCGATATTTGGCCTTCCAAAAATGATTTTTATTTATTGATGGATGGTATTTGAAATTTCATTGAAGCATGGAAAATATCTAGTTGACTAGAAATGGTTGTTCGATCAGGAAAAAGAAAGATCTATTTATTTAATTTTCATTATAATTATGATATTGGTCTTTTAATTCCTTAGTTTTATTTGTAAGAGCTCGTTTTAATTTCTTTAGTTTTGGGGTTATTTGTGTAATTATCTGTAAGTTTATTTCACATTATGAATATAAATACAACCCTACTCCTTATTTTAGAACCATCCATTTTCATTCCTCTTCTACTGAATTTCTTCTTCTCTCCTTTTCTCCTTCAGCTTCTCTCTAGTTTACTTTCTTCTTGCTAGGCTTTAGCGCTAAGGTGTTGCATGCAATCTTTAATTTCACGTGAATCAGCTATTACCAGAAACCGGAGGAGTTATGTCTCTTGCACTGAGAAAGAAAGGTTGCTGGCAAAGGGCACCGAGGATTGGGGATTGGTTGTTCAAGGGCTGTTCGAGTTGTAGCCGGCTGCGTATATCAAGAACATAGTCGAGAAGGAGGAAGGTGGTTAAAGAATAAAGATGATTCTGGTGGCCTCGATTGAGATTTAAAAGATCAGTGTTCTCACTGATTTTAGCCTTTGAGGCTGAAAATGAAGTCATTTATTGTGCACTAGTGCTTGGATGCAGCTCTGCGGGAGGCGATCCTTAAAAATAGAAGAAAATATTACATGGAGAGGTGTTGAACAAAGCTGACTGTGCAATTCTATTTGTCTTGTACGTTCAGCACTTTAAAAAGCTATAGATAAAAGATCAGCGTTCAGAGATTAGTTCTTTTTATCTAATCGGCTGTATCAGCCAAGATCTAGGAACCAATCATGACCCAAGTCGAAGGCAAGAAGAAAAAGCTTTCTTTGTTGTAAAAAGGCCATTTCAGGAAGTAATTTCTAGAGAGGAGAACAATAATTAATAAACATTTAGAGATGGATGAGATGCTACAACTGTGGAGAAATGCTATGGCAATGTCGAATTTATTTCTAGCTTATGTTCATGAAGGGGTAGATTGTAGAATCTATGCGCTTTTTGCTTTTGTGCCCAAACAAGAGTTGGTTTTGAGCCTTGCAATGGAAAAGCTGGCATAATGTGTGGTGCAAATAACAAGGCATGTAAATTTAAAGGTGAAGGATTCGTTCAACTCAAACTGTATGATAGCATGAAAAGATTGCTAAAAAATGTAAGGTATGTTTTGAACTTGAAGAAATTGGATTGCACTTGATGAACCAAATTGCAGTGAATACAGTGTTAAATGTAATGATGAAGGCAATTGCTCTCATAGTCATCATGAAAGACATTCATATGTTAAAGAAAGACATTAATATGAATGTAGTTCTTACGTTGCTAGGTAGAACTGTGATTGGAGTATGTGTTAGCATGACTTGTTATTTTGTTGATGAAACCAAGTTGTAGCATTAAAGATTAGGACATGTAAGCCTAAGAAGGCTTAAAAAAAGTGTATAAATAAGGGTTCTTTGAAAATAAAAAACCTATTAATTCGGATTTTTGTGAACATTTTGTGGTTGGAAAAACTGAGAGGTTGAGGTTTGCCACTTTAGAATATAAATCTTAAAAAATTAGTTCATGTGCATTTATATTTATCTGGGGTCCTAGGAAGTGCACATGGCAAAGCAAGGTGTTTCTATATTTTTGCTGATAATTATTTAAGAAAGTTATTGGTTTATTTTTTGAACCAAAAATTGAAGCTTTGGAAGATTTCAAAGAAAGGAGCATTGATTGGAACTCAAAATGGAAAGGACAAGAAGCCGAGAACTCTCCACAACTTTGGATTTTGTTCGGATCAATTTATAATATATTATATGCATTACAAAATCATATAGTGATGTTGACACTTAAGTAAAATGTGCTAGCTGAAGGCTATAATAGGTTCATTCTTGCAATGGCAAGATGTATATTTAATAATGCAGTTCTGTCAAAAAAAAAATGTAGTTTTGTTATGGACTTTTTTTGCGTAAACAGTTAGTAGACTCCCTTTTTGATAAATTTACATTATTTATGGTCTATTTTGTTCAAGTCTCGATAAGAAACGGGGATTAGACAACCAAGTTACTATATTAGACTAAAGGTATTTGGTTGCTTTGCTTATACTCATTATAAAAGAAGAATCAGAAGAGTTCTGAAATGTTTTTCATTGGATATCCTGAGAATGTAAAATTGTATAATTTTTGATGTTTGGAATTGGATCATCTTAAATATTTAAGAGACAGTGATGACATTTTTTTAATTAACAACAAAAAAAGTTTAGTTCCAAAAACCATGGACCAAAGCAAGACTATTGCAACTTGAGGCGAAGCGGTCAAAGAAACTTGAAATCATTGAAGGTTATGATTAAGGATCAACTAAAGCAGAAACAGAATAGCTTAGACTTCGATTCATTGAAGAAATGCAACAAAGAACATTTGATTTGGCTAGGGGCAAACTTAGTAGAATAGTTCAAGACCGCAAAGATATGGGCATGCAATTATTATTTCTTGCGTATTTTTAACAGGAGGTGAATCAAGTTTCTTTAAGGGAGTCACGGAAAGTACAGAAAGAAATAAATGGTAACAAACTATGAATAAAGAGAGATCTCCCTTAGGAAGAATAGCACTTAGATGTCGAGATAATAAATAAGTAGATTGTCTGCTGCAATGGTTTTGCTAGAAGAAGGGTGAAATTCTTGGAGTGTAAGAGCTAAATTTCAAAGCTAGACTTATGACGAGAGTTTACATAAGGGGTGTAAACTATACTGAAATTATCTCAAGTTTTATGATATACATTTATACATTTCCCTATCGTACTTGGGTAGTTTGCCATGTACATTGAGCACATGAATATTAAAACATCATTACTGCATGGAGATTTGGAAGATACTATTTACATGATTTAACCTAGTAGTTTTACTGAAGTTTGATTGGGAAATCAATTATGTTTTTCTGAAATGATTCTTATCCAAGGTAAAATGAATTCCAAGGATGTGTTGCTAATGTTTTGATGAGCATATGCTTGATATACTCTTCAGTCTTAGAAATAATGATGATTGTGTATATTCGAAATTTGAGGCGGTCAATAGCATTATGCCATTTACTTCATTTTGATGATAGGTTATTTGTAGGCATTAGCTTAATAGAAATCACAAGATTGAAGGCTTTCTTAAGGTGGAGTTAAAAGTGAAGAATATTGGTTCTGCCAGGTAAATTCTAGAATGGATATCATCTGAAATAAAGAAGGGCAGGAAGTGTCCTTTGTACATTAATCAAAAAGATTGGGAACATGTATAAAATGACAGCTTCTAAACATGTTTCGATACCTTTACCAGTACATTTTAAGTTGAGTAAGAATCAAATAACCTGCGATGATGTTGAAAGATTATGTATTAAGAAAAATCCTTACTAAATTATTGTGGATGGTTTCACGCATGCTATGATTTGTTGCATGCATAAATTTGGCTTATGCAGTCATGGTAATAAGTAGGTTCATGTTTGATTTAGTGAGATGTTATTAGGAAGCTAAAATGGGTGCTAAGGTACTTAAATGGGGCTATGACCGTGGGATTGAGCTATGAAATATTGGATTATTTAGATGAAGTGATTACATAATATGTAGATTCAGATATCGTATGATGTTTTGATACCTGGAGATCCCATATAGGTTATGTATTTAGTGTGTTTGAAAATACTGTTAGTTGGAAGGCTAATTTTGTAGCTAGTTATATCGTTGTCTATAATTGAAGCTAAATACATTGCTGCATCTGAAGCATAAAAAAGATTTATGATTGAAATGATTGATTTTTAAGAGTGTTAATTCAACTTGCACTCACGTTTGTGTCTTTGTTTTATGACAGTCAATATGCTTACTTATCTCGAAGAATCCTATGTATCATAAAAGAATTATGTATATAGATGTGAAGTTCCTTTTCATTGAGGAGGCAGTTCATGATGGGATTGTGGAGATTGTGAAGTTTCCAACATATGGCAATGCATCAGATATGTTGACAAAAGCTCTGGCTTATTGAAATTATCAATATTTCTTGGAGTTGTTGAATTGTGAGAGAGAAATCTTGTTGTTTTTTACTTGGTTTTTGATGAATTAAAGAACCAATTTAGAGATTGTGACATTGGTCCCTCACTTTTTTACTTGGTTTTATTTGTAAGAGCTCTTTAAGTTTCTTTAGTTTTGGGTTTATTTTTGTAACTTTCTGCTTACAAGTTTACCTTGAGGTGTGGGCTATAAATACACCCTCACCCTTGTTGTAGGAAAATCTGATTTCTTTTCTCGTGAATTTTTCTGCTCTGCTATTCTCCCTCTATTTCCCTCTCATGGGAGGAGGCTGCGCTAAAGCCTGACAAGATGGATTGCCATGGAATTGCTGAGTTGCTGCTGCAGATGTGAGATGGTGTTCTGTCAGCTGCTGTGCATCGTAGAATTTCTGAAGGCAGTTATTACCAGTAGTCTATAATCTCTCTTGAATTAGCTAAATTGTTAAAATGGTCTTATGTGTATACTAGTCAATTGTCATTGCAGAATGCTTTTCGCTAACATTTATGTAGTGCCACTATTTTCTAATTAATCACTTGGTTGGGCGAGTACCACAGGTTCTGTGTTCCTGATATTGAGTGAATTTTAATCCATTGAATGACGATGGAGATGAATGATTGGAGGATAAGTGATGGTAGTTCTCTATTTTATTGAATGAGCTTAAAATGTTTTGTTTTTTGAGCTTAACTAGACTTTTGAGGTGTGCTTATGTTAGTCCCAATTTTTTTATGGTGTTCAATTTAGTATCACAACTCACTAATTTGAGTTAATTATGTCGTACAGTCAACTTTGTCATTTTTTAAATGAAAACATGCCCAGGGAAGCGTTTCATGAAGATATTTTGAATTTTTTGAGGTCATCACGTTATTTTGAGCTGGAATTAAGCAGTTATTGACCCTAATAATTCCAATATGCACTTAAAAAAGCTTGCTTTCACCAATTTATGCCTAAAGGAATATCGAAGCGAATGGCAAGGCCATCTTGGTTCATATTTGATGAGTTAAGAGACAATTGAAAATGCAGAATAATTTGAGACTAAGGGTTCATTTTGTGCGGCAGTGTGGTGCCACTCCATAATTTTTTATATTTGGTAAAACTATTTTTTGTCTGCGTTCTAAAAAAAACTGTAGATAAAAACTATATTTTGCTACCATATCTGACTATCTGAGATGACTGCTAGAAAGTTGCAATCTGACATTTAAAATTTTTTTTTTTGTAATAGCCACCACAACTTTTTAAATAACAGTTTTTTCTTCAGCAGTTTCACAACTGCTTCTTCAAACATTTAAAACTGCCCCAAACAGACCCTAAAATGGATTTTTGATCTATTAAAATCAGAGTGCTCATCAAGCTAGTATTGAGTTTTGGACAAATTTATCTGCTCTAACCAAGAACATTTGAATGTGATGAATGATTGATGTGTCAATAATGTGATGGCGATGCAACACACGTAGGCTGTTACATTTTAAAAATTTCCAAACAACTTGAAATTTTCATTTACTTCCGGTGAATTTTATTTTTAAGTTCTTTTTAAGCAAAAGCATCTTCATGTCCTCTCTTAGAAATCTCTCCAAAGCCTATGATGCCTTCCACTTGTCATTATGGATTATCTGATTTTAAATTGTCAAATGAGTCATGTGACAAACTTAACAATGGCTTTTTTTTTTTTTCCTGGCTTTGGCGGTGCTTTTTGGCCTTTTTTTTTTTTTTTTTTTGAAATTTGGTTTGATTCTTGTAACTTGCCTATGTTCTAGGGTGCATTTGAGGCGGCACTTATTTAAACGCATAGTTGGTGATATTTTGAAATCCATCGTAAGGAGCTTGCTTGCATTATTTTACACAGCGTTCAGTACATTTGAAGACGGCGTTCTATGGTATCTGTGGGACTAAATTTAATTTTTACCTAATAATTTTGCAAATTCTTTTACATCTGGCAGGTTTTGTAATTCCATCCTTGGGTACCTTCTTGTGTATTAAATTTTCTGAATGTATATATTAGGTGTCTTGCATCATTTTTTCACAGATTTGATACTGACCTTTGCCTTGTTTTAGTTTCTTTGAATAGCGTGATTGCCGTGTTGGATGCAGACTTCCATGCTTTGCCTTCAAATCAACACCGACAGCAATATGGCCCAGTATGTTATGCTTATACTCATTTTCATCTTGTTGCTTATGAATATCTATATTCTAGAAATCCACTCATGCGTAGCCTTGAATTTTGTTTTGCTAGCTTTATGCCTTCCTTGTCGACTTCTATTCGGGCATCCTTTGTATATATTTCTTTAGTGTTCAATTTGTCTGTTGGCCAATTGGTTCGATAGCTGTTTAAATTTATCTAATTTTGTTTTATTTTTATTTATGCTTTGTAAATAAGTTGTAGGCCATTTCGGTTATCTTAACTGACATTTTGATTAACAAAAACCTATTGGCTGTTTGAAAGTCATTTAATAAGTTTTTTCTAATATTAATAATTGTTTATAAATCGGAAAAAATCTTTTGTTATTTCTCTATATGCATTTATACTTGTAAATGGAAACCTTCTATAATTTTTCTGGTTAGAGAGTTGCTACAGTGATCCACTTTAATTTTACCTTTCTTTTTTAACGGCATGACCAACATAAATAGTCCTTTTTTATGGCGTTTATGGTGAAATTGGGGTTAATTGAATTTAAAGAGTGATTAAATCTCAATCAAATCAATGCTAATCCTAGTGTTTTAAAAAAGTTTAGAGCAATTCGATGCATCTGAGTTCTTTTTTGGTTTAATGTGTAAAGCAAAGTGGCCTTTTACTAATTAGAGCACTAAGTTTGCACCACATATACATATATTATGTGCATCAATAATTATATTTAATTAACCAAATTTAAAGCATATTAGATAATATTTTTTTAGCAAATATAATGATACATTAAATAATATTACTTTTTAGTTATTTAGGAGAAAAAGTCAAAGATATAAATGCTATAATTAATGAAGTGATGTAAGAATACCTAAAATAAAAAATGTATTTATTAGACTGAGTGTCCAACTAGAAACTAGGTGTTGTTGACCCTTAAAAAGGAAATAATTAATCAAATGAAAATATTTAATATTCCTATTTTTTTAATTATGGTGCTTTATTCAAATACAATATAACTGTCCCCTCTTCTCTATTAAAAGAGCGGAGAGCTCGATTACAAACAAAAGAAACCACTTAGAATCGACGCCTCACGATCGCCCCCTGTACCCTTTGCTGTCCGAATTTAGAGCAGGTAGAAGCCATTTCACGCGACCCAAAAATTCGAAGCTTCCCATTCTTACCTTCCATGATTGAAGGCAAGATCACAACTTGCAAAAACCTCTTAAAATTCCTGCGCTCGCTTACTGTCGCGACTATATCTAGCGGGAAAGCAACAACAGGATTGCAACCCACTCCTAGGATCACAACACACTCCTTTCGCTCTATCCCGAGCCACAACCATGCTCTAATTCTTTCAATCTCGCTCTTGGTGCCTCACAAAGTTGCAATATGTATTCTTCTTCCCCGTCTCAAGATTCGAGCGTGCGATTCTCATTTTCAATTAATTACAACGGGATTGCAGCTTGCGTAGACCTCCTTCAAAACTGAAGCAGACAGTCGCGACGCTCTGTGCAACTTGCTCTGCCTTGGTAACCTCAATTTCGCCTTCTCTTGCTGTATTGTCAAGTTCCTAGGCGGCATTGTGGTCCCTCCCCGCCTTGTACAGTGTCAGACCCGAGCCGCTCTTCTTCTGCCCTTCTCGTCTCTTGCACTGTAGAACATTTTTGAAACTCATAGCCCCTCATGTCCTCCATTGCATCCTTGTCTTTCTCATCCATCCGTCTCCTTCCCATTTCATGCCGGAAATCTTTTGTCTTCTGTGTTTGTTTTTTGCCTACCCTGCCTCTCTCCATGTCTTTATGTGAAGCCAACCCACCGAAACTTGTGTCGTCGCGTGAAACCAACGTATTGAACTCGAGCGGAGACACTTTGCCTTAGCTCAAACCCGAGCTCTCCCCTTTGCCACGGTCGATCCCCCTTGTCGGTCTAATCTTCTTCGTTTGCCTTAGCTGCACAGTGTTGCTTCGAGTTTCCTCGTTTGCCCTAGCTGACACCCTCATATTTCTCGTTGTTCAAAACAATTGGAATCTTTCCCCTGTTTTATACTTCGCGTGAACAGAAGCCAACAACCTAAGAGCCATAGCCCGCTTCAGAGGTACGAGTGATTCCTATGTCGAAACCTTCTAATCTCTGCATCAGACCAGTCTTCCTCTTTTCTACTTACGTATCCTACTTTGCAGCCAAAAAGGAGTCACTATTGGTCCAAAATATAACTAAGCCATTTATTTGTTTTATATTTTTTATTTTGTGTAAAATAAATAGAGGGAGAGAGAAGAAATTTAAAATAAAAATTGTATTGTATTTTATTCTGTTTTGTCGTCGATCGTCGATCCCATCATTTCATCGTCGTCAACACCGTCGAAGCATGAATGGCTCATAACACGTTGGGGCAACATAGTCATTTTTGAAAATTTCCATTTGAGGTAGCTTGGAAACCCGTTCGTGGGAATTAAGTACCATTCAAGGAATACTGCGAACTCGTTTTGATTTTTTTTTTAAAAGTTGGGGTTTTAAAGTACCCATATGTGGAAAAGCGAGTATCCGTCCGTGGGAATTAAGTAATATTGGGGGAAAGTAGAGTATTATTCGTGAAGGGAATGCTGCTTTGCGATTTAAAATTTTGTCCTTTGCAGCAGTGTCTTACAATATTGAATCAGTTGGGAAGTTTGACATTCCCTTGTGCCTCCTAACATGGTTTGACGCCGGGAGGTTGCTGAAATTTCGGGTTATTTGGACTTGTAGAATAATTTAAAATTTGGACTCTATAAACCTATAAAATGAATTAAAATTGAATTATTTGTACTTCGAAATGATAAAAAAATGTAAAAGAAAACACAAGTAATGAATTAAAATTCGAAATATTCTTTTAGATTATTTTTCAAGTCATTTCAAGAGAATAAAATTATTTATATTGGACATATAAATGCTTGGGAATAATCTGATAGCCCATAAATTAATGGGATAAAACTTTTCTTTCACTTCTTATTCGTCCATATTTGAATGTGATCAAGTAAAAATATATTTCTTGGTGTAAATGAATCTTTATGTGATCTATTTAATAACATAAATTGGCGCTAATAATCTTTCTCGTACATCTGAAGCCAAAGTACTTGTTGAAAGAGACATTACTTCTTTTGTTTCTGAGGAAATTTGGTTGTGCACACAGCACCATGGATATTGACAGCAGATAGAGATTGAGCCTTTTCCTTCGTATTGTTCGAACTGTCGTATGTTCGACCACTCTAGTTCTCAATGTCGTATGTTCGCGTATGTTCGACCACTCTAGTTCTCAATGTCATCATCTACACCCCCATCTCAGACCAAAAAAATAAAGTACTCCGCTAGAGACAGTGATTCAATCTCCTCCTGATCAGCTCCAAGTTATTGACATTATTGATCATCATAAGGATACATCTGACGACGTTAATATCTCCGCAGACAATATGTCAACAATTTAGTCTCCACACAATGCTGTAGCTCCCCCGTCTTTAGAACCTCCTATCGTGGAGGCGAGAGATATTCTTCAGACTCCATATTAGTCACACATTCATGCATGCACATGCATAGACATGCATATACATACATATTCATCCATCTTAAAATTCTCCCTGTTACGAAGCAAAAAAAAAAAAAAAAAAAAAAAAAAAGCCATACCCTTATGATGGTTATAATTATTGCCAATCATAAAAATTTGAAATTGTCATAAGAAACCTTTTTGAGTTCCAAGCTATAGAAAAAATATATTGGGATTTTTCGTGATGATGACATTTTAGTTGTGAAATCATAACTCAAAGGAAATCTATCTAATTTCAATCCCTTTTACTAATGGAAATGTTGAAGTTAGAAAGTTGAGCAATAGTCCTCTACTTTGTGTTTAAAACATTCCCTTACTTACTCTACATCTTATTTTACTAAGGATAATTCAAGTTTAACCAATGCTCATGAAGAGCCAATTTCATATCATGTATAATACTATAATCAATCTTATAAATCTCATGCTTACCTTGGGTCGTTAGCTTAATTAGAAGGACATATATATTATGGTTATGAGCTAAGCTTGAATGTTTGCTAATTGCTAAGTTTACAATTCATGTCCCGTAAGGTGCACCTGGTAGGGTATGAAGCTTTCTATTTGTTAGTTCATATAAAATTGATCCCTTTGACAAGTTCCCTCCCCAATTCTATAAGTGTCCCTTAGATGATGTAACCCATGATTGTTGATATGATCCTCCAGTTCTGTTGGGTTGACTACTCTACCAATTAAATAGAACAGAGCCGCCCATGAAAACCCAAGACAATGGAATCATGATACCTTGATCAAGTTTCTGATCATTCATCCTTCTTCCACACTGAGCCAACAATATATCTTTATTTTCTCAGCTCAAATCTCTTTTATTAAAGGCAATTAATCAAAGTATAGTAAAGCTTATGCAAGACACCTTAGCTAAGTATTGAGAGCTTTGTCTTTTAATCCAGAGGTCCTAGGTTTAAGGTTTTGCATATACAGGGCGCGTGCGTTTTTATGTTTGTGTGGGAGAGGGAAAAAAACAAACAAACAAAGTGTTGTAAAGGCCCCCTAAATCTAAACTTCTTTCTTTTCATCGGGAGGTTTAATTAGCCATATGCAATCAAGAGGAAGATATATTTAACTTTTTATTTGATATCCAATACATTTTGAAAAATCAACTCAAATATATATTTAGTTGAGTTGGTGGTGATTTTCAGATCCCACATTGCAATGGAATTGACAAATATACTTTTTCAGATATCCCAAATGATGCAAGCAATGGCTTTCCAATCTCTGTTTTGTTTGATTTGTTTCGACTAAATTTAAAGCAATCCATTCATATGGGTCTTGCAAATCAAGTGTTGTTCGGTCTATTTTTTTCTGTGAAGGCTAGACTTGCAATTGAAATATAGTATAAAAAAAAGAGTGAAAATAAGTGTGGAACATGCTCACATTTTCTGAGCTTTCTAGAGCTCTATATTGTGCTCACTTTTGTTTTACATTAAATATATGTTATTTTATGTGGCTATTGCTGGAGATAAGAGGGCATTGAACGGATGAGGTATTGTTTATTTTTTTCTTGTCTTAAGTTTTGAACTCCATGGATTCCTTTTTTTGTCAATAATAGAGCAAAATAATTTATCCTAATAGGTGGATGAAGTGATTGGCTGCCCAATCAACAAGCACCCTTGTTTTTAGCCAAGTCAAAAGCAAACAAAATAAAAGAGTAATATTAACATTATGTACACAGCTAACTTTTCTTTTAGAATTGCAAACTACACTTTCAAAAAGTTTCTATTTATAGGACATGCCTTGATGATAAATACAAATTTATAGAAATTTTTAGGCCGGTAATGTGTTCAACCTCTGATCAATTATGGAGTAACCCAATCATTGCATTGAGAAGTGTGCCAAGATAGTGCAGTTTTGTAAACGGCCTTAAACGCATATCAACAATTCTGATAAATCTCTTAATGATCATAAAATCTTTTCCAAAATTGTCTTCAAGATTATGGAATCTTCTATGTTGGTTGAATAGATAGATTTAGTTTTTGAGTATTTGAAAAGGCATTCTAGGTTTATGCCTTGAGGCTTAAGACTTGATGTCACCTGTGAGGATTGCACCTTTTTTATGAGGCATACTCCTCGAGGTTTTATGTCTGCGGTGTTTGAGTCGGAGCTCAATTAAGTTGTAAAAAAATAATATTATATTATATTATTAATATGTTATATTATTAATATATATTACATTATATTATATTTAATATATTGGATAGAGTACTTCAGAAAGGTCAAATGATAATTTAAGTATGATTACGTAATTTTGTTATTAATTTATAATTTTTTTAGAAATATATTAGATTTTAAATTAATTGATATTAAGAAAAAAATTATAGTTAATGAAGAATAATTTAAAGTGTCAAATGAGATATAATTTGTTAATAATAAATATAATGATTTTTTTGAAGACGAAAGCAAATATGAGTCAACTATTGATCTTGAATCTCATGAATATTTAAATTTTATGTGAATGTATATTGAATCATATTCAAACGTCTATTTTATATCAATGTTTAACATTTAGATTTGTTGTTATTTTTTTATAATGATAAATTAAATCAACATATTATTAGTTTAGTATATTTTTGAATTAGTTTTAATTTTATTAGTTTTTAATTTTATTTTTTTCAGTTTTACGCCTCAATCCACTTAAAGGCTTAGGCCTCGATCTGCCTCAAGGCTTACACCTCGACTAGCTAGAATAAAATGCCTCGGTTCCCGATTTCGGCTTTTTAAACTTTGGTTAGACCTTATTGATTTGTAGTTGATCTTAGAATTTGGTGTCACCAACATATATGCCCCTTTGCTTACATGTTTAGGTCATAAGACCTAAAGTCGAGGTGACTTGAATGTTTGAATCATTAGTCTCACAAATGGGCATGTGGAAAGCTAGGATTGTAAGCACAACCTTCTTGGCAATTTACAAATAGAACCATAAACCTTAATATTTCAATCAATTTAATTCCTATAATCAAACAAAAGTTATGGAAAAATCATAATGTGCTTGTCTTGCTCTCAAGTTTGCAAGTTCCATCTTTGGGCTTTCCTATTGATGCGAGCTCCAATTCAATTAAATTATCTAATATAAGGTTAACAAGCCCTTTAAATCAACTTAACCCATCAGTGACCATGCCTACTTTGTGAGGTTATAAGACTAACCATTGTGTTGACTTATATTTTAGGGCCTATTTGGCATAGCGGAACAACTGTGGAGAGTTTTCAAAACGCTGACATAGGTGTTTGTTTTCTTCATATTTGTTGCTTTGTGAGATAAGCTGGTTTCCTTTTGTGTTACATGTCGCCCTCGGGTTCCCTTCATCCAGCGTTCAGTGAAAATTGTTTATGGTTTTGCCCTCCCCGCGTCCCGCGTCCGCTGTTATTCACGATATTATTCGCGCTTTTTGCTAGCCATTGATTAGCGGTGTTTTGCGGTGTTATTTGTGGTAGTATTCAGGTGTTTTTGCGGTATTATTTGTGCTTTTTGCCAGCCGTTGATTCGCAATGTTTTGTGATGCTATTTGCGGTAGTTTTCAGGTGTTATTGCGGTGTTATTCGCGCGGTTTCTTGGTGTTATTGTTGAGTTACACTATGTTATTCAATCCTTTTGCCCGAGCCAGTGTTATCTGAGCTGTTTTCTGGTAGTATTCAGATGTTATTAGTTATATTTTTTGGTGTTATTGGTGAGTTACGCGGTGTTATTCGTGTCTTTTGCCAGAACCGGTGTTATTCGAGTTGTTTAGTGGTAGTATTAATAGAAAATTAATCTTATGCTAAAAATGATTTTAATAAAAAAATATATATTTGTTCATTGTTTATTATTTTAATAATTTTGCTAAAATTTTTCTTGAAAGATTTGCATACATTGCACTCAATTTTTATATATTTACATATCAAATACCTAAAATTTAATTTTTACATACCTGCCACCTTATTTATGCATGCTAAGGTATATTTCACTTTGTGAAAAATAAAATGATGATATAAATTTTAAAAATTAGTAATCAAACAGGTAATTTAATTTACTACGTAGTATTTATCCAAGATAATAAGTTAATTTAATTTACTATATAGCATTTATCCATGATAATTTTTCTGGTGAGTAAATTCGTTTTATTGGTGAACTAATAATTTTTTCGTTTAAAGAAATAAACGACTACAAAGATCTCATAAAAAAAATAACAGAGTTATTAAAGCATTTGATATAATATAATGTTAAAATAAATTAATTATGATTGCATTAATAACAAATATTAGCAGATTTATTATAGTTATGATAGTTATGTCATAAGCAAATTACTGTACAGGGGCATAATTGTCATTTATCTAGAAACAACTGCAAATCAGTTGTTTTCCAAACACACAAACCAAACAAACAACCAACTGCTGATCAACAGCTTATCTGGATCAACTGTTTATGAGTAGATTATTAATAATCTGCAGCTGCCGCCCTAAACATACCTTTAGTTGTAAGTTTCACACTCAACCACATCGAAAGCTAAGACTATCTTTATCTTTTGGGCTACTAATGTATAGAGCGATACGTCCCAAACTTCAAATCAAGTTGATTCAGAATATTAAGCTCAAATCAAGATCCTGAATGAATTGATTTGGTCTCTCTCAAAGATTCAATCTCATCTATAGCCTTTTTTATTGATGTAATTGCCAATTCAATTAATTTGATCGACATAAGGCCATCACGTAAATAAAACAATAAGTTGCCTTGCTTATAGGGATCCACCAATTGAGTTGCCTTATTTATAGGACAAGGTTATGAGATCTTTTACTTGGGCCGCTATTGCTTATAAACATGTTCATAAGCCTCACCATGCGGGTCATGCTGTCTATAGGGCAAGAATTCAAGAACTGTCATGACAAGTCATTTTATATTTAGAGGGACATGTATTTGTTCACATTTTCTGATAAATCTGATTATTCTGTTGATTACATTGGAACTAAGCTCTTAATTTGCATTATGAAGTAAAATACATTTGCATTAGGGGTTGACTGAAACTTTTTGTAATAGGGGTGACCGAAAGTTGTGGTGGGAATTATAGGTGTTTGTTTGAGGTGACTGAAACTTTTTGTAATAGGGGTTGTAAAGCCGTGGTGGAGAAATCTACTTTTTGAAAAGTTATGGTGGGAATTATAAATATATGTTTTTTCTAAAAGATTTGATATCAACATTTTTGTTGTCGCTGCACTTTAACATGTTCTCACAATAGAAATTTCTTGAAGCGAGCAAGAAAGAAGTTAATCAAACAGAATTGTGGTAGCGGTCTGAAATGCAAAGCAAGCAAAAAATTGTCCTCAACAGAAGCTTAGCCAAAGTTTGCACCAAGGAAATGCAGCAAAAGTTCCATTGTCATTGATTTATATGTTATGTCATACTGCAACTAAATCCAGATTTTAAAGGTGATTGAATATGGATAAGCTTTAACAAAAATGAAATTTTGATAAAGATGATGGCTTTTACATCCTTCAGTGGTCAAACAATGAACTTCTCCCTGCTTTTTGCATCTCTATATCTTCTAAACATCTTGAGGGTTCTGTGCAGGTGAGGAATTTTAATTTGGAATATGGAAGGGACACTGGTTGAAATAAGATGCTAAAAATATTATTGCAAAAAAAAAAAAAAGAAATAAAAAGAAGAAAAAAAAAGAAAAGAAAAAATGTTGAAACTTTAGCATTGCTTTGTCATGGAGTTGGCTCTGTTTGGAAATCACTAATTGTTGAAATGAATAAGAGTGCATTCATTATCATCATAATTATCATCTTTATTCTGCTGATAAAATTTGGTATTTGATTTATGGTGTTTCTATTTTTATTCTTGTTGGAATAAATAAGGATTTCCAACAATAGGTTGCTCGATTCTTATCATAAGGATCTATTTCTCTATGCAATTTCTAATGTTCTTCTAGGATTATAAAGTTAATCCTCTATGTAACTTGAAATATGTACATCCCATCATTGAAATTTTCTTTGTCTGTATGACTCGGTAATGAAATTTAATATTCTATTTTTAATCTGAAACTAACTAATGTAAAACTGATTAATCTGCTCTTTCATTCTTGTAGAGCCTTGACAGGATAAAGTGCAGACTTCTGGAGGGTACAAATGCTCAAGATGTTAGGGCACTTGTTCTCGATATGCAAGCAAGATTGTTGCTTGATATGTTGGGCAAAGGAATTGAGTCTGCTCTTATTAATCCGGCGACATTGTTACCAGATCCTTGGCATGCTTCTGGTGAGACATTAGCAAGCATTGAGACAGACAGAATGGTTGTTGACCAAGCTTTGGTACCCAGCATCCAGGTGCGTTATCAGCATTTATAATAAAACATTTTTTATTTAATGTTAGTGCATGAGTAAGGCATAAGGTGTAATGGCTTTAATGGATGCTTGTATATTGTGTCGTCTTGATTCAGCTTTTCATCTGTTTTAATTTCAAATTTATTGTTATGGATTTAGTGAAAGCTTTGAATGCATAATTTGCTTATTGTTTGAATATGATTCCATCCAAGTAATGACCATCCTAAAAGAGTAAACTCGTTGTCGGCCAACTTTTCCTGTGATTTTGAAAATAATGAAAATAATTTTAAAATTTAATTTAATATAATAAGAGGTATATATATATATATATATATATATATATATATATTGTTTTGAAAGTAGTGTGTTTTAATTTTTTAAAAATGAGACCAAATGGATCTCATTCGTTCATTAGTTTGCATAATCTTACCCGATACCTCGAATACTACACCCTCCCGAAAGATAAGTGTATACCTCAGCGATAGACCCAAACCCAATCTTGTATACTAAGAGATTTGTGACATCCGTTTGGTTTGCGAATCTTTTATGTGTGACCGACAAGTTCTCCTATCTAATACAGAGATTGAATATGATTTATTTTATCTGAGTTCTAAGTTCCCTATAGAGGCAAACCTCTATAGTTAGGCAAACCTCTATAGTTAATGCAAACCTCTATAGTTAATTACATCCCAAATGACTTGGGTTACTTGAGAAAACTCCCAATAATGATCAGAGGTACTAGTCTTGAAGAATTTGAGGTTTAAGTTTTCACGGTAGGACGTGGAAAAGCAAGTCAGTTATTTTCAAGAGTCCAAAGGGAGGAAAAGGTAGGGGATGTCACAGATCCCGAGGAGATACCTCAGTGACTTCCTAAACTATCCTAATTTGTGGCTGAATTTTGGAGACAATGTTATTTAGGTGTTCAATTCTGTCAATTTTTTTATTTGAGACTTACATTTGCATAATATTTGATTATGCAAATAACTCGCAAGGAGATGAGGGTTTACGTCGTAACGAACAACAACCTCAGAACCTAAAACGAATTAGGACTTAACGCTCTATAACATAGTTGCACAAGTGCCTAAAGAGGGTGTGAGGATTTATGTTGCACTGGACGACCAACTCGAAGTCTTATAGGTTGTTATTATGCTAGGAAGAGAGAGATTGTTGAAGATGATTCTCTTGTCGCTTGATCCAAGCTCCTCGTCGTGCTGCCCAAAAAGTTGACTACAAGCTCTTGCTGTAGCGATAGGGTTTAAGTGTTTGAGATTGGTGGTTTATGTTTCACAGTTTTGGTTTTGCATGCAGAATAAACAGATTGCTAGTAAATAAAAGACACTTGAAAAGTAAAATGCAGTAAACTAAAATGCTGTAAATAAACTGTAAAAACGGATCTGAGCATCTGCTACTGTTGTGTGATTAACATTCCAAGTATAGTATGATTTGCAACAGATTTAAATAAACTTGCAAGAAAAATAATCAAAGCGAGAAAATCCAACATGAAAGTCAGAAAAAGGAGTCGTAATAAAATACGAACAGGTGAAGCAAAATTCACGGTCACATATGAAAGACCAAGACTAGGTGTAAGACATCAGTAAATGTGGGGGCTCAGAGCTGTACTGTGTGCTTCTCAACTTTGAATACGAGTTACTAACCCGACAATCTACGGAAGACAGTTCTTAACCTCAATCCAAGTGATTAGCCATGGACATTTGTAAATTTTATCAAAATTCTTTAAATTTTCATGCAAAAGTTGTTGTTTAGATTTACTTGTAGAGTTCACTTTAACAAGCAAAAGAATTTTTTTTTTATTTTTTTAATTTTTGTAAATATGTTGTAAAATAGTATAGTCCACAGGCTAGTCAGTCTAATCATGCTAGGACTACTGTCGACTTAAGAGCATCGGGGGCAACAATCTTATCAAGAGTTGAGGAATAGTATCATCAGTCTTTATTCTCTCCCCTCATTGAAGGTCCTGGAGGTAGACGATACCATTCTAATAATTTCACTTCGTATCCCTCGTTTAAGCACACATAAGCAGTGTCATCATCTTCCTCGTCACCTAGACTCTAGACTTATCCTAGTCTAGTGATCTATATGTGACATTAATAAATGTTCCCAATTACCAGGAGGATTTGAGTGTAATATCAAAGCTCAAATCCCGGTGTACTGAGTTTCACTATAGGTAAAGTCATGACGGGAATTCCACTATTAATTTAATTAAAGAAGCATTAAATACGTTTCAGTGCATCCTCATGTCTAGTATCTTAATAAGTTTGTGAATTAGGGTTAAGTGCTTAGTTTCCATCATTTATTTGAAAACTAGATAAAGGAACACTCACCTAGGGTGTGTTCCTAAAATCTAGAAAGTCTACACTGAAAATTAGGTAGATAGACTCTCACATCGGGTGTGCTTCTAAAATTTGGAAACCTACACTGAGAATTAGGTAGATGAACTCTCACCTCGGGTGTGCTCCTAAAATCTAAGAAGTCTATACTTTAACTTATGCTTAAAGTGATTTAAGGTGTTCTACCCTCAATTAAGTGTTTTTCAACTAATCCTCAAATAACTAATCCTCAAATATTTTAATCCTCAAATATTTCTAAGTGTCTTCTAAGTAATTAAATCAGAAATTCCCTCTTTTTTTGACTTAATCATTTAAAAATAAATAGAATAAAAGGAGGGAGCTGACCCACTTCCAAAACTAATAAAACCGAAAGAAGGAAAAGAGTAAGTGAATCGACCTAAAAGCGTTTAAATAATAATTCAGAAAAAAAAAAACTTCAAAACAGTGGATAGAAGGGTTCTTGAAATCCAATTTTAAAACCGTGTAAATCAACACTTAAAGGCTACATAAACCTCTCCAAAAGTCGATGCATAAAGCAATGCTAAAATGTTGCCCAAACGGTGTCAAAGTGGTTCCAACACGGTGCCAAAACTGCCCAAAATTAGCCCTCGAAATACCCCAAACAACACTTAATTGTGTTCCAAATAATACTTACAAGCCCATACAACACCTACAGTTCTAACAACACTCCAAATAGCTCTCACAATACTTCAAAAGTTCTCACAACATTTTTAACACCTCCAAACAGTAATTTGCAGCACTTGTAAGCTACCTACAGCAGCCCAAACCATAATTTCAACACCCAAACTGCTCTCACTGCTTTGCAAACAGTTTTCACAACACCCTACGCCATCACAACATTTTTAACACCTCCAAACAGTAATTTGCAGCACTTGTAAGCTAACTACAGCAGGCCAAACCACAATTTCAACACTCTAACAACTCTCTCCTATGAGTTGAGTTACAGGGTAAACAAAACAACAATTTACTCTTCCAATATCTCAGGCGGTGTTAGATGCAACAAGGTCATATAACCTTAGCCTCGACGGAGTGGAGTTATTTCGCCAATATCTCAGACGACAAGAACACAAGTTGCCGCTTCAGTGGAGGCAATGGGACCTCCATCGCTGCAGAAGCTCGTGATTGAAGCTCTTTCTTTTGTTGCAGTACTGTTTGGGTCAAGCCCGCTTGTTCGACCGATGAAGAAGAAGAGGGGGAGGTCGTGGAAGTGCACACCAGATGGGAGCGTGCTGCCAGTAAATCCTAAGCCGATCTTATCCTTCAGTTCTATCTCTTCCACTCGCGAAAACCTTAGCTCCTTCGCCATTCCTCTTCCAATGTCAAGCTAGATCTACTATGGCTTGACCTACACCAGTGGTGGATTAGGCGGTGAGACACTCCGTGATGACGATCCCTACCTGCCAACCGTTGTGGGCTCCTCTCGATATTCCATTGATGTGCTTGACGTTACAAACGACAGTGAGCGGACTGCTTCCCTGTCTTCTAGCCAGACGAACGATTTTAAGCTTCCCAACTTGTTGGAAGCTACTCTCTCGGAAAGATTGGTGTGGGTCAGACGTTGTTGTCAGGGCTTGGGTTTGATGGGGTTGGTAATCCGGGATCAAGGGGTCTTCTGATGCTCTCTACAATTAGAATATTTTGGCATATATCTCTATTGGCCAAAGTGATGCTTTATTGTCAAAGTACTATTTGCACTAACGCCCAGAGTTGTGGGTGTAAGCCACCTGTCTTTATATCCCCAACGTCCTTGAGAGAAGGATTGTACTTACAATATGAAGATAAGAACTTATAAATTAGGAGATTTCGACAAGTTTTATTATCCAATTTGGGATCCTCAATGAGGAATTCTGCAACAAATGTTAACATTTCTCTACCTGGAGAGTTTATACTTCAATCAAACCATTGGGGCCCTCCTTCGATGTTTTTACCTTTATCAGACTCTCTTCCAGAGTTTTTCTTGCAGCAGACCCTCTACTGAAATTCTTCCTGCAACAGACCTTCCTCCGGAGCCGTTTCCTGCATCAGACCCACTGGAATCTTTTCTGCAACAGACCCTTATCTAGAGCCTTTTCCTGAAGTAAGGCTTATCTCATGAGCTTTTCCTTTTTTTTTCTACGGGCCATACCATGTGGCATTTCTTGTTGGTCGTCTACTTCCCTACAAACTCCCTTGTCACATTACCTGTAGGAACCTTTCGCTTACCTACAGACACTGCAAGAACTGCAGTATAAGACAACCACATTCATCTAGAAGCCAGTTTTTTCTGCAGATTGTCTACATCCCTACAAACTCTACAATATTACCTGTAGGATTCTTTCGCCCACCTACAAACACTGCAGGAATTGCAGTAAAAATAACCACAGTTGTCTTCTTCCCTGCAAACTCCACTGCAACAATACCTGTAGGAGTCTTCCGTCTACCTACAGACACTGTTGGAACTGCAGTATATGAAAACTGCAGTACGAGATGAAGACTTCACCTTCTACTTCACAGGATCTTCCTCGCCCATTGTGTGATGCTTTCAAATCCAAGTTGAATATAGTTTTCAACTATATTTCAACTCGAGGCAGAGTATTAGATGTTATATTAGGAAATAATTTATTCCTGTGAGAAGCTATGAGGAATAAATTATTT